AGTATAATTAATCACCGTTCCGGATTGTTTGAAACCGAACTAATCAAATACTATAAAACCGCACTTTACGAGGTATTATATATAATTATCTAATTTAATTGTTGTTTCATAAATAATTAATTAACAGAGAAATCTTATAGCAAATAACAAAACTATTTAGAAAAACATGAATTTTCAATTACATTGTATTTACGTACTATTGAGCAATAACTCAAATAAAAAATACGCGTTTCCAAGATTTCAGACAATAAATTTAAAGCTTTGTGTAAATCCTTAATAAATCAGATCAAACGTTTTGCTTCTTTGATCGCAGTAGCATAAAATGTTTATTTTGTTTCAAGAAATGCAAAGGATTAAAATTGTTTAAAAAACAATATTTATAAACTCACGGTTTGCTTTGTTTCCTGCAATTGGTTTCTGAAGCACAGATGAAACGAATCTTCGATTTCTAAATGCGTCCGGTCGTTGTTTAGGCAACAGCAGACATCCAGAATGCGCTGAAACGATAGAAATTTGTTAGTCGCTCACCAGATTTATATAGATTATCGACGATTATCGGAGATAATAAAAATATAATCAGATAAAATATTTCCATGTATACATTGCGATTTCAATTGTATAATTCTAAAAAAAAATGATTGAAAGAAATCCAATTTCAAATAGAGAAATACCTCGCACAGTCCGGATTCCGAATTGAATAAATTTTGTACACAAAATTATTTGCCTCAATATAAATATTTTTTTAAGTCTCTTTTTGTGAAGCTTATTTATTTAGTTTATAGATTAAGCCAGTTTCAAACAGTCCGGGATATTGGAAAAACCCGCACTATGCGAGGTGTTTCTGTATTTTCAATATGAATTTAAAACACTCGGCATTCTTTTTCTTATAACATTTGACTGTTAAATTTAGTAAAAAACGTACTAGTAGTAAAAAGCAAGAATAATGCGGTAATTGGAAACTTGTAATTACGAAACATGATGTCGATAGTAAATTTAAAGTGCAATGAACTTGCCTTCACTTCGTGCACATCACGAATTCACATGAATCTTCCAGTGATTTATAGAATTTTATTTCGATTGACATTTTTACTTCTCTTCAGAAAAAAGATTTTTTTAATAATCAGTTTAAAAATTTACAAATAAATACTGTTTTTTTTTCTAAGAATTTGTATATTGTTAAGATTTGTACATTAACGATTAATTCATTAACAATTAGTAAGAAAATAGGAATTTTTAGGCAATTAAAAATAGAAATAATTAAAGATGATAATTAATAATTTGAATATTAAGTATAAATAGACATAGATTACATTGATTACTAAAAATATACGAACAATATACATTATATTCAATATCTATGTAGTTAAGATATTTAAGTACTAAATATTATAAATATATTACTATATTATTAATAAATTTATCATTATTTATATAGATTCCGACAATATCTGGAAACCGGACTAATCGAGGACTTTAACACGTAAGTACTACCCAGAGTGACCCACCTGATATATAGATAAATGATGTGTTTATTGAGAAAATCAATATTTTGTTTAATTTATTAAATATTGAATAGACGGGTCATTTTGACCCATAAGTAGTTTTTTGTGTTTTTTCTTAGAATTTATTTTGCTCACTTAAAATTTAGTTTGCTTTGAAATGTTCAAACCGTACTATAATAAATCCGCACTGATTGAAGCCGGGTTGTGCGTGTTATTCATTCATAAACAATAGTTTAGAAATGCAACTATTGTGACGCTTGACATATTTTTTGTTTTACAAAACAATAACGGAAATGTTACAAATTGCAAGAAAATTCTTCAGTTATGCAATGGACAACATTTTGCGTTTGCTTTGTCTACACTTTGCTTATCACAAGACATTTATCGAAACGCAACCTGACTGCTTAATCGAAATAGCGTAATTGCTATTAATAATTTATTTGTGTTGCAACAGAAAAGCTTTTGTAAAAACAAACAAAGCGAATGCTTGCGTTTTCATTACTAATTATCGTTTTATGAAATTTCATCATTCGCAATACAGCAATAACTCGCATAGTGCGGATTTTCGATCAGTGCGGATTCATTATTATAGTACGGTATCAAAATTTTAAAACAAACTAAATTTTGCAAAATTAGTACATAGACATATTTTGTGCGTCAAATAAAATTGAAAAACATTATTATTTCAATCAAAAGTATTGAAAAATTTCTTATAATTTCAAAGCGGTGGCAATCGCAAGCCCGACAACCGAAATCCCGATGTACGAAATCCCGACAGTGTCTTCAATTATTATAAATTTCTACAATAACATTTTTATGGTAGTCGGGATTTCGATATAGTCGGGATTTTGACATAGTCGGGATTTTAATATATCCGGGATTTAGAACGCCGGAATTTCCATACACTCGGGATTTAGAACGTCGGGATTTCAATAGACGGTCTTTCGGTTGTCGGGCTTGCAATATAGACCCCAAATCATAAACATCTCTTATTACAATTATGTAACATACAGTTCTTTACAATGTGATATAATTTTATATATTTATAGCGGATTATTACTTTTCTGTTTCATCTACGATACTTGGAAAAACCCGAAGTTCCTTTCATCGAATCTGACTTAAACTAAAATTATTTCTTTTACGGGAAATATCTTTAAAATGGGTCTTCAGGTTTTTCCAATTGTAAAGAACTGTACGTTACATAATTGTAATAAGAGATGTCGTTTATGATTTGTTGTAATCTTTAAATTTTAAACAAATCATAAAATTATTACTTTTCGAATAAATAACTTACTATGATTAACAAATTTTATCTTAAACCTATACAAATATAAATAAATTTCAATAATAATGACAATTACATCATCATTGTTTTTCATATATTAATAGCAATATAGGCAACTTGCAAACTCTCCAAGTGACGTTTTTAGGTTTTGATCAGAGTGGTAGTAAGGAATTTATTATAATGGTTTCTCGAGACAAATTAATGTAAATTGTATAAAAATTGTTATTTTAGTGATATTAGTATGTTAGATTGGTAAACCTTTAAAAAAATCATTAAAAATATTACATTACATAGGCAACTCACAAATCTCAGTAACTGTCAATCTAATATTAGCTAATGTTTTCGCGCTTGTAGCTAATAACAAGCTTAACGTACACTCATTAAGGTTTTCTTAACATAAAATCTTCACTAAATTGTAATGTAACAGCATAATTTGTTAACAATAAGCGTACTTTGATGTAGATGTCACTGACCTTTGAATGCTCGTTTTGCAAATCGGAAAAAGTTCATTACACACTGACCTTTTCTTGAAATCCGTTTCTATGAAGTATCGAATAAAAATCACACTTACAATTATTATTATGATCGGCGGTTGAGCTGTGTAACCAGGTTATGAACGCATTCGTAAACAGCTGATCTCATTCACGAGAATGCGAACTCATAGAGGTCGCTAATTATTATATGAAAACAAATAAAAATAAATTTAAAAAAAGCGCGCTAAATTTGAAAATTAAAAAAAAAATATTTTTTTATTTTTGGTACGGAATGTATTATTATTATAACATAATATTAGTATAAACTATAATCGAAATGGCGGCAACAACCGTTTTCTTCGTCAACAAATATATCACAAAGTTTTCGTTAAACGAATTAGCAATAATCATTGACGATTCATAATCTGCAATGATTATTGCTAGTTGGACAAACAACTAGTTGAATATTGTCTCGGTATATTCAGTGGCAGTAGAATTCTTCGTGCGTCTCTATGCAGACGTCGCATTTAACTTTGCAGCACCAGACGAAGGAGCAGTTGCAGTTTTTCTTTTCCTCCCTCCTGCGTTTTCTCACTCGGTGACCGCAAGTTCTGCACAGATTCCTGCAGCTCATCTTCTCTTCATACTCGGTGGCGTTCTTGTCTTTGGAGCAGATCCTGCCCTTCGTTCCTTTCCATCCGTAGGTGTTATCCGTTTGGCAGTAATCCGGAGATTTTTGCAGGAAAATCAACGAGTTTGGATTGGTTCTAGGTAGTTTGATCTCTTCCAGCGCGGAATTGGCTACCTCCGGTTCTATGACGATTTTAGATGCGAAATGGTACTTCTTTTTCAGTGTTTCAGCTACGACGCTGAAGGGCGCCACCTGCATCCAGCAAGTTTGGATGGTGCAGCTGCCAGAGACCCCGTGACACCTGCACTTCTTCTCCATCGTGCTCTTAACAATCATCCTTCCCACTTGATTATTGTGCAGATTGATCAAACCTTTGACTCCGCCATCATCGTCGAGGTCATCCAAAAAGTTCTTCGCCGCTTGCATACCGTACTCGGGGTTATCGCTGCATCCACCCCAAGTCCAATCAACCTTAGTTTTCTGCTCCAATCCAGTCATGTTAAGACCTTCTCCAGTAGCGTAGTTTTCGTTAAAAGACTCGTAATCTGTATCGCATCCGCAACCCTCGATGATTCCCAAAGAACAATTCTTAGTTATAGTGTGGACAACAGCTGCAGCTACTATGGCTTTAGCAAAAGCCATCTCTTTGCTAGCAGCTTGCTCATATTTCCTATAACAACAACAAAATTCAATTAGAATCATCAACATGAAAATCTTCATGAAAAACTCACCTATGAAACGCGGTTTCTGGGCAATTCCATCGATGCCATTTGAACATCTCCTTGCACGAATTCATCCCAACCTGCGCCCCCATCGCTATATGCTCCACCAAACTTGATCTCTCCTTAAACTACAAACACAAAATCCAATAAAAATCACTAAAAAAAAACATAAACACAATACTCACAGCAGGCATAACGTTCTTCGTGAAGATGCTGTTAACACTGGACGCCAACACCAAAGCTACAAGCTGCAAACACAGAACACACTTCATCGCACCTCCGCACATCACCGAATATGTTGCTAAACTGAGTCTCTGCCACCCCGACAACCCTACTTTATATCGTCCTTTCTTTTATTGCAGGGTGAGCCATAAAATCGCAATTGCTCCTGCTGGAAATTCAACTACTCCAGCCCCTTTACCTTTCTCTCTCTAACGCAAGTAGTTTCTCTTATCAATTCTCCTATGTATTCGCAAAACAACCGAGAATGCTACGATAAGATTTCAATTTTTTTTTGCAAAGCTTTGTTGATTTTGTAGTAAACGAACGTTTTGCGTGTCTCGCTTGTCTGCATCGAGACAGGTTTGGAAATGTATATAGAATTGTTGAAAATGATGAGCAAATTATGTTAGGGGTTTCTGGGAAAATGACGGGTGCAGAGGTTACATGCAATTATTACCTGAATTGTGTTTTATGGTCGAAAAGGGATAAAAAAAAATAATGTTAAAGTAGTTACGTACTAAATTCCGTGTAGTGAATGGTTTCAATGTTACAAATAAAAATCAGATTATAAAGAAAGACGTTATCATACTTTCAGTTCAAATTATTTAATTAAAAACTAATTAATTAATTTACAAACTTTTGTAATGATTTGCATTTAGTTTGAAATAACGATAAATCTAGATTATATAGTTAACTCCAAAATATACACTTATTATGTAAATAACAAAGAAATTAATTAATGTTTATTGATTCAATAATCCCGTTGGTTTTATATTCAAATCTCTATTTAATTTTGCTATTTCCTTATCAATTTACTTTTAATTGCTACAAATTTAATTATAAATAATTGTAATCAAAATTTTTCTTGAAATAAATTTGATAATTCAGGTAAGAAAATGTTAATCTTCACTAAACTCGTTTTTTTTCCCTACATTTCTATACTAAAAGAACATTTAAGACCACCCACATAAAAAAAATGCTACCGAAGAAGCCAACAAAACGAAAATAATCCTTTCTTATTCTCTCTGTTAACACTTTTTTTTTTGTAAAAGCGAGTTACGAGAGGCGCCCTATTTTACAATGGATTCACCCAAATAAAACTGTTTATTGCCATTGCCATAAACACAGAACAAATGCAGGAGATTAGGAAAAGATTTAGAGAAAAAAATGGTGCCGCAAGAACATAAAACAATATTTTTACTTAGAACTTACTTTTATTACGAAACGAACAATAAATATTAAATAGATTTTATAAATAATTAAAAAAGAACAAACAGTGATTCAATTTCCGTAGAAACATAAATGCTTAGATTCTATAAACAAACAAAAATAATCCCTGAAGAGTTGTGATGTGATGCGTTTTTTTTTGGTAATTTTGGTCATCGCCTACCGGATCGTCTTCTGTTCACGTAAGCTCCGTACTCTTCGTCTCCGCTGTAGCCGTAATGCGCGGAGTAGAGGTCCTTTTCTTCCTTCTGCAGGTTGATGTTGTGACTGTAGACTCCTCCTCGGTTTTCTGACTTCCAGAAGGCGTTTATGGCGATCAAGAGGATGGCAATTTTACCAACGAACATGCTCTTTATCAGCATGAACTTGAGAGAGGTCAGAACCAAGGGGATCATTGAAGAGGAGATGAGGAAAGGCATCACCATCATTGGGAGTATTTTGGACATTAGGTCCTTTTTCTCCTTCTTCTCTTTCTTCCCCTTTGAGCCGTGTCCTCCACCAAGCGACACTTCACCATGTTCTAAAGAAGAAAATGTAAATCTATTAGTTTTATTACAATCTTTCATTTGAAATTAGATGTGAATTCATTACTTTATAATTTTCATTTTTATAAGTATTCCACAAAAATTTTACAATACGCTAATAAATTATTATGGTATTACCGGGAATTCCCGGTTCGGCAATATCAATCGAAGTAGATGAGGCAAATCAAGGTTAAAATGCATAAAAAAATAATTTAATTTTAACTTAAAAGAGAAAAAGAAACTGTAAAAATTGCGGGATGTTCGAGATGAAATAATCAATAAACAACGATAGGTCAATATTAAATCTATTAGTTTTATTACAATCTTTCATTTGAAATTAGATGTGAATTCATTGCTTTATAATTTTCATTTTTATAAGTATTTCACAAAAATTTTACAATACGTTAATAAATGATTAAAGTATTCCCGGGAATTCCCGGTTCGGGAATATCAATCGAAGGAGATGAGGCAAATCAATGTTAAACTGCATAAAAATTAGTTTAATTTTAACTTAAAAGAAAAAAAGAAACTGTAAAAATTGCGGGATATTCGAGATGAAATAATCAATAAACAACAATAAGCCAACATTAAATTTATCAGTTTTATTACAATCTTTCATTTGAAATTAGATGTGAATTCATTACTTTATAAATTTCTTTATAATTTTCATTTTTATAAGTATTCCACGAAAATTTTACAATACGCTAATAAATTATTAAGGTATTCCCGGGAATTCCCGTTTCGGGAATATCAATCGAAGTAGATGAGACAAATCAAGGTTAAACTGCATAAAAATTAATTTAATTTTAACTTAAAAGAGAAAAAGAAACTGTTAAAATTGTGAGATGTTCGAGATGAAATAATCAATAAACAACGATAGACCAATATTAAATCTATTAGTTTTATTACAATCTTTCATTTTAAATTAGATGTGAATTCATTAATTTATAAATTTCTTTATAATTTTTATTTTTATAAGTATTTCACGAAAATTTTACAATACGCTAATAAGTTATTAAAGTATTCCCGGGAATTCCCGGTTCGAGAATATCAATCGAAGTAGATGAGGCAAATCAAGGTTAAACTGCATAAAAATTAATTTAATTTTAACTTAAAAGAGAAAAAAAACTGTAAAAATTGCGGAATATTCGAGAAGAAATAATCAATAAACAACAATAGGCCAATATTAAATCTATTAGTTTTATTACAATCTTTCATTTGAAATTAGATGTGAATGCATTACTTTATAAATTTCTTTATAATTTTTATTTTTATAAGTATTTCACGAAAATTTTACAATACGCTAATAAATTATTAAGGTATTCCCGGGAATTCCCGGTTCGGGAATATCAATCGAAGTAGATGAGGCAAATCAATGTTAAACTGCATAAAAATTAATTTAATTTTAACTTAAAAGAGAAAAAGAAACTGTAAAAATTGCGGGATGTTCGAGATGAAATAATCAATAAACAATGATAGGCCAACAGTAAGAGAAAGCGTGTATTTCCAGCGTTCTTCATTATGGAATAACGGCGAAATCCGTATGAAATTTCAATTAAAATATACTACTTTTTTTTTTTTTTAAACATATTTGTCCACTTATTGTAAATGTACTTTGTTTACACTAAAATAAAACGCTTTAAGCAGTAAACAATTATCATTACTTATGTATTTATTTATACACCTTCGTATTTCTTTCAATTATGCTTTCACTCGTACATCCGCTCCACATAGATTGATGTTATTTCTTCAGGAATTGTTACTTTTTGAACAGATAATGATGTGAATATCCGTTGAAATCAATTGGGTACAAAGTCTCAACAAATGGTAACTGTTTTGTGTCTGCTGACGGACGAGAATTTAAGCAGAAACAAATCGAACGGCAGATGCTGGATTGTTACCAAATAAAGTGATCATTCGAGTTATGTATTTACAGTAAACTTGATTAAATCCGACAGCG